GAAGACCCCGCCCCTGGGCACAAGCCCCGCCCTTGGGCTCCGTCCCACTTGGAACAGACCCCGTCGCCAGGACAGGAGGTCCGCTCCTCAGGGACGAGTCTGCGCCCCGATAAGGCCTCGCCTCCGCGACTTCACCGTCCGCCCCCCTCATCTCAGAGGTCACAAGGCCTTTTCCGTAGCAGGAGTCGCGTCCAGTAGATGAGAGATGGAGAGAGAGCGAGGACGGAGGGAGGGAAGGGCCTTGAAATGATGGGGACCCCGGGGCTGCTCGTCCGCGCCAGGGGCAGCCAGGGCGTCCTACCCTCCGCGCTGGGAGGCTCTGCTAACACCCTCTGCGCTTCCAGGAGTCGCCCGTGGCCGTGGTCGGTGACTTTAAGCACAAACCTCCCGTCCACCACGCAGTTCCGGGACTTAAGTCGCCCATGGGCCACGCCTCGGTGGTGCAGGTACCTCATTCCCTGGAGGGGGTGGGGTGAGAGGCCGCTTCAGCCCCGGCTCCCCTGCCCTGTCTTCCCCGCACCCCTCTTTCTGCATCCCCCGCTCCCCGCACACCTTGATGAGGTCCAGTAGCAAGGAGGACTTGAACATCCAGTCCAGCTTGATGTCTCTCTGGGCGAGGAGGTCGTGCAGGGAGCCCCGGGCGCAGTGCTCCGAGACCACGGCCAGCACGCCCTCCCCGGGGGCCGCGGCGCTGTCCACTCCACCCGCCAGGAAGAGCCCCAGGTAGAGGGCCACGTTCTCGTGCCGCAGCTCCCGGAGCTGGGGGAAGGGGGGGTGGGGTTTACAGGCGTTTGCCCTGGGAGCAAGGCGGGAACGAGGCTGTTGTTCAGGTCTGGTTGTGGAGATGGGATGATAGTGGTGAATGGAAGGTCTACAGGGCACGTAGGAGAGCTTTCTCCTATAGACAACGTCTCTCGCCGAAAAAGACATCTTCAAAGGCTGCCGTTCAGAGACTGAGTATGGCTTTAGTTTAAAGTTATGAATGAAAAGACACCTTTGCACGGGGCATCGGGATCTGGGCAGGTTCTGATTTATTAACCATCAGACTTGGAACGGTCCATGTCTCAAGGAGAAACACCTCATGAAGGAGAAGCCACTGGCACCACCACCCTCCCCTTCTGATGTAACAGCCTTTGAGGGAAGAACCAGGGAGAACCTGCACTGCTTTCAATAAAACACCAGAAATGGCCCTAGCTGGTTTGGCCCAGTGGATACAGCGTCGGTCTGCGGACTAAAGGGTCCTGGCATGATTCCAGCCAAGAGCACATGCCCAGGTTGTGGGCTCCGTCCCCAGTGGGGGGTGTGCAGGGGGCAGTCCATCGGTAATTCTCTCTCATCATTGATGTTTCTATCTGTCCATCCCTCTCCCTTCCTCTCTGAAGTCAGAGGTCAATAAGATTATATTTAACAAACAAACAAACAAAAAAAACAACAACACCTCAAAGGCTTGTACTGGGGAGTCAGCTATGCCTGAGACTCCCACCCTCCTCCCCAAGTTCAAGAAGTAGGGGCTGAGTAGTCAAGCTGTGGTCCCCGAGAGCCCTCAAGCAGGCCACACCCACTCAGCAGGACAGAGGCCCTCACCACTGGGCATGCTGGGAAATGGGGGCCAGCAGGTGACTGGTTTCTTTTCTAGCTTTCCTTTGGTCCAATGAAGGGCTTCTTTTCGTCTTAAATGCCTGCCTGCTGTTATTACGTAGTGATTTACTAGTATGTAGTCCGTTGACCCATACAAGTAGTCCACTTAAGTCACTCTGCAGCCATGACCAAGAGCTTCTGTGGAGGCATCAGGGGAGGAGGCCAGGCCAAGGCTGCATGGTGTTAGGGGTAAGGGGGGCATTAAGGTTGGAAGGACCAGAATAAGCCATTTTATAGCCTCTTTGCCAACCTTTCACTTCACTCAGTATGCATCAACCAGGCCATTCTGCATGAATGAGCTGACAGAACTGAAACCCTTTTTTCATTTTCTATCATTCACTCAACAAACATTCATTGGGTCTCTCTAATGTTCCAGACACTATGCTGGGTGCTGAAAATATAATGGAGGGGGCTCGGGGAAGCCCTCACACAGCTTTCAGTCTAGAGAGGGAGGCAGATAAGAAATAATCGGGCACACAGATGAACATAAAATTACAAATTATGACCAGCACATCAAAGGAAATAACTGGTGTTATGAGAGCATAATGGGAAACCTGCTTTAGAGAGGAGGGGACACTCCACTGAGACCTCTTGATCTCTCCACTTGGGGCCTACCTCTGTGCCCAGCTGCAAAGAGAAGGCAAGAAAGGAGAAATGATGGCCACCCCATACCCCATCATGGGCCCAACTCTTACCTTGGAGAAGGCTGTCTTGGTTGCTGGGCGGATAACTATGTGCTGATCCCCGGGGAATTTCTTCAGCCAAACCCAGTCTCCCTGGAGCAGAAATATGAGTAGTGAACTCAGTTTCTTAAAAACCATGATGCAAAGAGCCCTAGAGCCCCCATTTCCACTGTTTCAGAACATTTTCCATGTGACAAACAGTGTCAGGAGCCAGGAGTTTGGGTTTGATGTCTACCAATCCACTTGACAGCTAGCTGGGTGAGAGCCCACCCCTGGGTAAGAGATGCAGAAGGCCTGAAAGACGATCTTCACTACCCAGATGTGCTCACCAAGAGTCCTATTAAGCAAGCCATTGCCAACACAAATGTCATTGAAGTCATAGCCTTCATCACCATCTGTTGCCATGAGAGCACTGTGGTGGGAGTCAGGAGTCTGGGTAGGTCAGGCTTTACTATAGACTAATGGTGAAGTTTAGGCAGCTCCCCTCAAGGCTGTGGGCCCCATTGGCCCCAGCTGATGGCAGGGCTGGTTCATGGGCATGCAACATATGCAGTCACACAGGGGCCCTCGCTCAGTAGGCCTGAGCTGGTTTAGTGATCTGATGTTGTCATCTTGAATGAACAAGGGGCCCTTCATTTTTATTTTGTCCTAGACCTGGTAAAGGGTGTCCCAAAATTCACGTAAGAAGTAATTTTGATAGAAAACACAGGTTTATGATGAAAAATTGTAAATTTTTTATTGATTCATAAAG